GTGCCCGGTGTAATCTTTGATATTATTGATCTTTTCTGATCGATAGAACGGAAATAGGCGATTACGATGAAGTAGCGCTCCACCCTATTTTTTTTAAATTTAGCTTATGTTTACGTTCAGTTTACGTTCAATCATAAAGTTTAGCCCTGAAATTCTGACTTAATTTTATTCATTGGTCTGCCAGTGCTGCATTGTTTCATCAATATCACGTGACAACTGACGTGATCAAAGGGTAGGTCACTCCGCACACCAATCTTGGGTCATCTTTTTTGTCAGTGTGCCACAGGTGTGCCGATTGTGCCGATTGCAACCCGGTATTTCTGACATCTTAAATGTTTTGGTTTGAAATCGCAAGGATAAATCGAATTGAGGATGACGCGGGAAGTGGCTGGTGTTGGTGTTTTATGTTCATAGGATGATAAAAGTCCTGTGTTTTAGTCTTCTATAATGCCCTCAAGGGCAGACCAGAAACCTAGCATTTTGTAATGTGGAAAGCATCGGTCTATCAGCGGCCGGCAAGAGTTGGAACCGGTGGGAAGCATTGTTAGAGACTGACTATAGAGGATGATGAATGGACTTCTTTAGTTTGTTTTGTGTGATTTGCAGCATTATTTGAATTAAGTGTACTAAAGGGATCTGATTAACTGCCTCTTTTTCTTGAGCCCACTCTAGAACCTACATTTCGTATTTAGACAATTTTTATAAGTGAACTACTGGTCTGAATTCCTCTGGTATATTAAATTAGAATCCTGAATATATAGTCAAACAACACGTAATGATGTGAACAACTTCAATGACAGTCCAGTAGTGCTCCCATTTTATTTACAACAATCCAATGCCTACGAGATTGTGCCAAAGGTGTGCCCAAGGTATGCCGAAGGTGTGCCGATGGATGTGTGTCGAATCTTATTTCAACACAATGTGCTGAGTGACTTACCCCTTGGACGTGCTACATTTCTCGCTTCTCACAGACGAAACTCCAATTGAAATGCTGACTGACAAAATATGATGCGGCATGACGCCCATTGTTTTGCTCCATCAATACACTTTGACAGACAGAGTAGTCAAATTATTTGTTATAGATTGAGATTGTAGCAGACTGTTATTTTTCTTCGATAAGCAAACTATTTTTGCTCATCGTTTTGTTGTGTAGTGGATATCTAACGACGAAAACAGTAGTTCCGGGTATCCTCTTCATCAAAGAAAGAGGCTTAATAGTTTTGCGGACATAGCGCAGCAGTGCTGCAGGATCACCGGTTATCAATATGATTGTGCCACTGATCCCTATAGTGGTTGTGCATAATTCCAGATTCTAGGAATTTAATGCGACGCTGCCGGACGAAACATTCAACGGCTGCGGGAGGTAAAGGGCTCTTTCTAAATGAAAACGCTGCCAAAACGGCATGAACCATTACTAAGTATTTCCAGCACATCGAATGATTCATGAAACGTGTCTCGCAACACAATTCTCCGCTGAACTGCTTTGAATGGGAAGCTAAAACAAAAGCTGGACTTTGTTCATGTAGTTTCTCTTTATTATTATTAGTATTATTATATTCCTATTGCCAAATGGCGATTAATAGCAGATGGAAATCGGAGACGTATTCCAGATCTCCAACAGATCAATGCAAATGCTAAGGTTTTGACAGAACTGTGATGTGGCTACCACGGTATTTAACATTTGATCATCCATACACAGTAGCGCCAAAAACATGCTGTGGTAGATTCAAAACATGACCATCTAAATTGATCAATTAATATACATTTGACCTAAAAATGATGTTTGAAGTATCAAGATGGTTTTGGAAATCCATTCAGATCAATTTCATATCGAAAAGCGCTTTAATTCTTTTTGGTATTTTTTTTCTAGCTTCAATAACAACATTTCAACCCGAACAATGTATAAAGGCATATTTACATTGATAAATTCACGTCATCGACTATCTCTTTCATTAGTAACTTTGCTACAAAAACGCCTCTGGCTGTGTTTGTCGTGTTGATTGCTAGATAATAGCTTTACCCGTTGGTTGAAAATAGCCCGAAACGATTGCATGGCCGTGGCGATCCAAAGAAAAAATCATAACAAGAATCGATCAATTTAATTAATACCTTATGCATTGTTCCGGTTGGTTTAAACTTGTTGGAACAAACCTCTATTATAAAATGAGCAGGATGAGTGTCCTACACGAAAACCCTAAGTGACATGATATTTATTGTCTTGATGATCATAGTGAGATGACTAGCAACATGCTTTGATCGTCAATACACTTGTAATCAAGGGGAAAGTCACTCAGCACATTGTGCCGCAATTAGATTCGGCACAGCTTGGGCACATCCATTAGCACACCTTCGGCATAATCTCATAGGAATTTGCTTGTTGTAAATAAAATGGGAGCACTGGTGGTCACTAAAGTTGTTCACACATTACGTGCTGTTTGGCTGTATATTCAGGAACATTTTTTAATTAAATATACCAGAGGAACTCAGACCAGCAGTTCACTTCTCGGTTCACTTATAGATTTAAATCCGAAATGCCGCCAGACCGATGTATCCTTGCGATTTCAAACCAAAACATTCAAGGTGTCAGAAATACCGGGTTGTCGGGATGGGTATTTTACAAAGAACTGCAGCTTTCTCTATGACCATTACAATCGGCACACTTGCGGCACACAAGCAGGCCCATTGAAAAAAAAATATGACCCAATATTGGTGTGCGGAGTGACCATGAATTGTTGAGTTGAGATAAAATATCATTCATAAAATTAGCTTTAATTAATTGCAAGGACATTGATAACTGATGAAGGGCTGAGTTCTTTTTGTTTGCTGAACATCCGAAGTAATGTTCTTAAGATGATTGATAATGAAGAGTTGACGTCTACTCTGATGCTAAACGTAGGCATCAATGATTCATGGAAGATTACAATTATTTTTACTGATTTGTTCTGTGCATATGTAGAATAGAAACAAAGAGGATAAATGCAATTTTAAATTGAATAACGTGATTCTTGGTCACATAAAATGTAAATGTGGAAATGAACTGTAACTTAAGAGAAAACTGACAACCTCATGGTATTGAAATCAATAGGCTATGATGATGCAATCATTCCGCATGATTACTTATTATCATGAGTTTTTTGATTAGTATTTGGAATTTTTGAAATCTTAAATTGGAAAAATATTGGGTGAAATTAATAAACCCCTCAAATTGCATTCAAGTATCTTTCTATGAGATATTCTTATTAATTGTGGGTTACCGAAATCCTTGTATGAAATATATGCTCAGCAGATATTGTGGATAATTTATATTTTTAAATGAATTTGTGGTATTTTTGTATATCTCTTGTAATTTCACAGAAAAACATTAATTTATAACAATGCAATTCATTTTTCTATATTTAAAAAAATAGATTGATTAAAACCTGTTCCAGTTTATAGTTGAAAAAATCAAAATACTTGTATGTATGTGGATTGTATTGATCAACTCAATGCTGAAAATCATTGAAATCAATGACATATTTTTAATCTTGAGAATATTTTTCAGGCGGAGATTAATTGAAACAGAAGTACAGGTATTTCTCGATGCACTTTTCCCTTGCTTTGCCGGTTTTTCTCAAGCAGCTAGTCAAGCACACCAATCAACATTACCAATAGATGGGAGATCTACCCTGTTGCCCGATGGTGTTGTTGCTTTGCGTGATTGAGTGGTCGTTTGCGAGAAATTGGTGATGGAAGTGTGAAGTTTCGTATACGTTACATGTATTGAAGGAATACCTGTATATTGGAGTCAATCAGCCAAACCCGAGTCCCTCGAGTTGATGGAGGGAGTTCCTTACACGTATTACAATTTCTTAAACAATATACCACACATCACATAGTCTATATGAAAGTAACAAATTTTGATCGGAACCTACTTTATATAAGGAGCACAATATAATAGAATTATTGAAGTGCTTCCATTAATCGCGTTGCTGTCTTAATTCAGAAATTAATCAAAATAAGTAAACGGGAATTTATTAATCTACATTCCAATGACTTTTTTAACTAAATATCACATAATTTGCCACGAACCATAAAACATAAAACTTGACACTCCGCCATCATGAATCGCACAAATTTATGCTGATTTCTTCATGCCGTCTTTGCTGCTTTCAGCTTCATTCATCTTTTACCGGGTTATGGTCGTACGGCGTCATAACCCCAACAAAAAAAAAAACAACCGCCACCATTCCGAACCATGTCAATGTGAAACGTGAGGCAATCGATTACCTAAACACCGACCGGCACTTTGGCTCGCATGTGCGATCTCCCTAACGAATGAGTTATTTGATAAAATTTTCATCGTAAAAAAAATATTTCCAGGGCAGCCCAAAAATCTGCATTACTGTCTGTCTGTCTAGCGCTTTATGGTTCACATTAAGCACACCCATGCACACACTCCTGCACTCAATCAATTTAAACATCATAATAAACTTTCTACATTACATACGCAAACACTCTCGATTTGCACGGTATAAGAGCATCGTTGAAACAGCCCCATATGTAGATGTGGACTTTAGTGCATGGAAACGAGCAAACCAATCAATCGGGCTACCAGCCTCTCACCATGCATTTTGCCCGCTATCCATCTCGCGAGATGATTGTTTTCAAATGTAGCAACTGATCGAGTAGGCTTGTGTTGGAGTAGTAAAAGTTTCAAGTTCATCCACTATATGCGCCCCATGTAGCCATCCGAAGCCACGATGCAGAAAAGTGCCTCTCGAGTAAAATGCAGTGCACATTGATTTCCTGTACACGTACTCAGCAGCAGCAGCACCACCACCACCAACAGCATACGCCACGAAATCAGACATACTTTGTCACACCCAAAAGTAACGGCAGTCCCTCCCTCACTAGAGGAACAGTACAACCTCCACATGGCTACAGTAGTCAGAACAGAAGTTGCCAATGCACCCAATTGGGTCAATGCGCACAAAACTGTGGTTTAGAATACACACACTCACCGAACACTACACTGAGAAGCACTAGGAAAATGAGACCGAACTTGGCAGCTGCTTTCATCTTGACGACCGTTTCTCGACTGAACATTTAAAATATTTGTTTTAAATATCAACAACTCGAAGAACCCGATCGTGCCGCCGTGTGTAGATCGCAGGTTCGTCGCCTGTGTCGTTCGGGAACAAGAAGTCTCGCGCGCGCCCTCACCGACTAGGTTGATCGTGATCGCACACTTTCGAACCGCTCGCTATGCACACCCGTTCGAAAGACCTCCTACATAGCACCGGCCCGTAAGCCAGTGGCAGAGGGAGATGATTGTTTTTCTTTTTTTTTAAGCTCCAAACCACCTGGGAGTGCAAAACAGTAGTGCCAGTAGCCAACTTTTTGAATCTGTAAGCTTTTGCCGTGGGGAAAATGAAGGTGCACGATCGATCTTATAAGCAATACAGTAATGTCTCGATTTTTTCAGCCCCCTTTTCGAAAATCATGTTTAATGATTAACGGTTCTGCGTTTTTTCAGCGATCTTAGTGCACCAAAGTATATCTTAACTTTCCTAGTGGATTAGGACCAACTTTGGCCTGGAAACATTGTGTAAATTTTTCGTAATGTATTAGAAAGGTTAAACATTCTTGTTGAATATGAATGAGACGGATTTGGATTTACGGTTATGTGAAATTATTGTAAGACAAAAGTCTTATGCGGGGGGCTGACAAATTCGAGATATTACTGTATATTGTTTTGCATTGTGCAGCTTAAAGTGTACTTAAAGCACACATTCGCCTGTCGGTGCAGGCAAAAGCTTCGTTTTGTTAATCTTTCAAATTTGTATTCTTTATTTACAAGGCTTTCAGCCATCGACTGGTGCACCTATTAATCTTTCAAAAAATTACGGGCAATATTGGTACAAACCGAATTTAGAAGAAGACTACATATTACTATGTGGTCGTCCGAGTTTTTACAATTAGATACATACGAGATATTAAAACTACCACCTTTTAAACAATTAAACATATACCAAGATGAACACAATATATTTGAGACCAATCCAAATACAAAATAGTCAATAATTGCTCGAATCAAATAGTGATAAGACTAAATAAATAAAAATAGATAGATTATAGATAGATAGAATAGATAGATTTCTATTAAAAAAAATATGTCCCGTTTTTAAAAATGTACTATTTCAAGGTTATTCAAAGGTTCGTTTTACCAGTATTTCTCAATAAGTTAGTTGTAAACCAATTGTTACTTCCACGTTAAGCTGAGCATCTTTTTTGTTCCCACATTTATAGTTGAGGCTCTCTGGAAACTGGTAGTAAAGCAGGTAAAACTGTATGGGGAAAATAAATTTTATTTAATTGTAGGGTTTTTGATCTAATTTTCGTCCTACTAAGCACAATTCGCGCTTAACCTACCTTTGTTGAACGGGTTTGTACAAAAAATTAAATATTTATGTTAAAGATGACTTCTAAATTTATTCGCCTTTCCATACGTACCGTTGGATTTGATAAAGAGTCACAAATTTTTGATGTATTGTTTTAAATCTAATAATGCTTCTTGATTCTAAATTCGTTCTACGAGTTTCAATTCCGTCCTAACGCTTGAAACGCCATTAGATTTTCTTCGTCCTACGGATAAACGTAGAAAAAGAGGATTAGCTAGGAGCGCTTCTTTTGTTTCGAGAACAATGAGCGTAAATATTCATACAATGCGCTCTAATAGGATTTATGTTGTAGTTAATGAACTAACGCATCGCAACAAACCTATTATTGATTTGTGCACGGTGATCTTTTCTGATCGATAGAACGGAAATAGGCGATTACGACGAAGTAGCACTCTACCCTAGCTTGTTTAACAATAATTTCCCGGAAAAAAAAAACTGAGCGACAAAGTCGCTGACTAATTTCTTTAAGTTGTCGGAACAGTGTCTGTGGAAAATGGTCGAACAAAATGATTAATTGGAAGTACATGTCACCAAGCCAAAATATTAACCGGTATGGTGAGAAAAATTTAACTACCACTTTTCTAACTTTCATTTCAATACAACATCAAATGTGACGTCATACAACCTACTGCAAAAGGATGTTTTGTAGACAAAAAAAAATCACATTGCCATTATATTATAAATCGAATGACAGGTTACGTACAGTGCTGCCATCTCACCTGCCAGTGTTTAATTCAATCTTCTGTAAGTTTATTAATTGGACCGGTAAAATGCCTAAAAAGGACACGAGAGTATGGTTAACCGAAGATTGATGTACTTCCTTGAATCACGGAATCTTCTTGACCATCGGCAACACGCGTTTCGCCCGGGGCACGGGACAAATACTCACTTCGCAACTCTTGGGCAGGTTCTCCACAATGCTTTTTTCCGCAGGCAAGCATACCGAACTGGCAGCTCTCGATATTTATAAAGCCTAAAACAGAGCCTGGATGCCGGACGTAATACGCCAGATGGTAAAATGGGGTCTGGGTGAGCACATACTTCATTTTGTAAAGAACTTCCTTCTTAATCGCACCTTTCAAGTTATTCTGGGCAACCATCGATCAAGACATTCCGGGAGGAGACTGAAGTGCAGCAGGGGTCGGTGATAGCAGTCACCTTGTTCCTCATTCGCATGAACAACATCTATAGTGGCCTCCCCAAAAAGATATACGCCAACGACATCGTTCTCGTTACCATTAGTGACACCGTTAAGGTGCTCCGTTGGAAGATGGGTGCGGCTTCCAGGGCAGTATCATTGTGGGCATTGTCCGCTGGACTTCGGCTTTCAGCCGATAAGAGCTCCCTTATTCACATTTGTGCCCATCATCACCGTCCTCTCAGCACCCCTATCTACATCGACGGAACCGTTTAAAAACTACAAGGGACAGCCCTAAGGGGTTGTACGCAAAGGTGACGTAGGACTACGTGGTTTTATATAATAAATCTTATTTTTCAACTGCAGCAGGAGCTTGTTTTTTGTGTAGGAATAGGAATTTAAGCGGGTCTCTGTTTATACTCTTTAGTATGACGCGCTTGACATAGATGGCCCACAGCGACTCACGAAGAGCTCCTGATTCCGATAAATAGCGTTGCGGCCCATGTGGGCAGCAGCTCGCTGCTTTCAGGCAGCCTTTCGTTGTCTACTGGAGAACAATGTTCAACGCCACGCGCCTAAAGCACTGCTGCTGCTACTGATACCGACGACCGGACACCACCACATACGGTGTTTGGAACTGAACCCGATCAGCGGTTGAAGGCAGCCTTGATAGCTAGCTGCTTGCGGGGAGCCTTTCGTTGTGTACTGGAGAAAACCACCACTCACCACGCGGTGATTGAATAAACACCGTTTGGTGAGACCGGATGGAATTCAACTTTGAAATCTGTATTAGGGAAATCGCTTTTCGCAACCAATCGGTGATAATTTTAATCATCATAGCAACAGTTGCACATTCGTGCGATTTTCAACAGTGACATATTGTAAAATGATCAAGTCTTAAACTTAACAGATGCGTAGAAATATTTCTGATCGATTGGTGATAAAATTATTGAAATTGATCCAGGGGCAGCTGAGCTATTAACGTTAAAAATCTTTCATAATTTTGTTACATGTTCCATTTTCGGTTTTCACAAAGTGTACCCCCATATAGAAAACACAGACGTAGTCCCACGTCAAAAAAAACAGTTAGCATCCTAGGGGTTCGTCTTGATCAGCATCTGACTTTCACTGCAAATTTCGATGACGTCAAAAGTCGTTGCAAGATCAGACTTAATCTTCTCCGTTCTATCGCTGGACGGCACCCTGACAGTAACCAGACAGACAGTGTTGCCAGAGCAATTCTCGAGTCGCGTCTTTTCTACGGCATCGAAATCATTTGTCTCGCCCGAGATTTGCTAATCTCCAAACACGCTCCCACGTATCGAGGAGCTATCCGTATTTGTTCTGGTCATCTTCCGTCCACACCTAACGTGGCAACCTGCATCGAGAGTGGAATGCTTTCTTTCGACCAACTGATCACACAAACTATCTGTAAGAGGGCAATAAGTTTCGCCGAGAAGACCGTTGGCCCTGACGAGGGAGTTTTCCTCCTCACCGAGACAAAACTACTCTTTTCTGCAACTGCCAATCTGGAGCTCCCCCCAGTGTCCAGGGTCCACTGGTGCGGAGCCAGGGGTTGGAGCCTGCCCAGACCCGTAATTTACTTGGCAATTGAGAAGAAGGTTGGGGAAGGATCCAACCCCCCCCCCCCCCGCACTAGTGAAATCGGTAGCAGAACTTCAACGAACCGTATACAACGGTCATACAATCCGCAATTCCGACGGCTCCACAGCCCGCGGGCGTGTCGGTATAGGAATTACAGGCTCAACAATGCAAAAATACAAAAATAAACCGATTTGCGAATTTGTAGGGAATTGCTCTTGACGTATAACTACTTTTAGCACAAAATTTCAAAAACTACTTCATGCTTAAAATGTGTAGCTAATTTGCATATTTCATAGATAGAAAAAAAATATTTCAAGCGTCTGAACTTAATCCCACTGCGGATCTGTTCGATTACTTAATGAAAATAATGAGGAAAATTAAATGTATGTATTATAAAATGCATTGCATTCTTTTAAGAAAATTCCCCGAAAATTCCAGGTATTTTCAAGAAAAATAAAATTCCCTGTGACATCCCGGTTATCCAGGTTTTATCATCAAGCAGACATCCAGTCATATAACGTGTTATCAGTAGACGACTGTGAAATATTATGAACTATTATGTCACTCATTATACTTTTGAAAAATCATTGAACGAATGATTTTTATCACGTTAGCGCCATTTTGATCAATCACAATGTGGCGCCAAATGCAAAAAATGCTACTGCTTCGTTCAAATTGTACGACAACAGCACTGTATGTATGTATGTATGTATGTATTTCCAAAGTTTAGAAGTTTGTTAAGCTTTGTATGTTGTGTGACACTGTGTCACTAGGATAAGCCATCTCCAAGTAAGTCGAGAAATTGTCCGAAAAATTCCTTAACCGAACCGGGAATCGATCTCACCACCTCAGTATGGTATCCCATACTCTTTTATCGAGAGCATTTAATTAAATACAGACCAATAACTTACAGTAAAAT